ATTTGCGTTTCTCCTTCATACTGTCACCCGGATGTTGGGTTCCCAGGAGGTCTGGTGTTGGTTTTGTACTGGACCTGCACTCATGTGCCCTGCCTTGTTTGTCAGAACAAAAAGTTATTTTCCCTTTTGATTCCTTGGCTTGAGGTGAAGACAGTTGAGACCCTCTTACTATCATGTATCACAAGACAAATGCCTGAATACAGTCTGATGTGCCCTAGCCATCTGGCACATCCACTTACTTATTGAATGGGCATCTTTCTGCCTGATTAAGCAACATGTATCGTTAAAATAGGGCAAAAAGTGTACCTGGTACAGATGTGGGAGCAGTTTCCTATGAGTGTGACCCTATACATTAAGGTATTATACTCCATGGGTTCTAATTAAGCACTTCTGAAGAGTCTTCATCTAGATAACTTTTGCACCAGTCCCTCCACTGTTTCAATGTGGGATTCTAACTAGTATGTAAGATGAGGTAAGGTATTGTATTGGATATTAATACTTTCCCACACTGAAAATGTATTTCTAATAGATACTCACCTCCCTCACACTTCCCACCCATCCTCCCCACTCCTGGTGCATCCTTTTACCTCATCTTGAAGGGATGAAAATACTCTACAGTATGGAGGAAGTCAGCTGTGCTAGGAGGGTGTGTTGCATTTTTATTAATGGAGGGTTGTCGTATGCTTATTTATATGTATCAGTGCAACTGTACCACTTGTAAACAAGTGAGGATAAGCAGGAGCATCAAGGCTAGTGACAGGCAAATATTGTGCATATAGAGGGCAGCACAAGTTAAGAAAAGCTATTATGTGGGTAGATAGATATAAGTATATCTTGGAAATACATTTTCAGTGTAGGAAAATGTTAACATTCTGTTTACTTCAATAACACCTAAACATAGTATTTTAAGTAAATAATCTTGGTGTATTCAATTAAGCATGAAATTCCACTTTATGGAATTACACAGTTTTATTGCATAGTCTGTAAGTGTTTTAATGTATTTTCAAACTCAGTTGAGAAGCTGTGAGCAATGATCATACTTACTTTCCTTTTGGGGAAATATTTCATATAAAAATGACATATCTTCTTTCAAACTCCTCAGTAATATGTTATGCCTCTAAAACCCTACTTTCTAGAAATTATATAAGTGATTGTCAAAAATAATATTGAGATGAAGGTTATGTCAACATGCTATGACAATATTACCGTATACACAAACATCTTACACTGTGATAGATCAACCTGTACAAGTCTATGTTAGAGAACAGCTGTAAGAAATGGTATTTACAAAGGACTGTGAAAATCATTGTGTAAAAGGTATTATTAATTTACACAACTCATAACAATTACACAAAAATTCCAGTGAACCTATTAATATTGGTCATTCAAACAGCTAGTAATATTTATGTGTTGTTGACATGATACACTTATTAGATACAACACTTTAATAGGTTTCTATTGACATTTTCACCTTGCTCTCACCATATATATATATATATATATATAACACCTTTGTCATTTAACCCTAAAATTATTGATAGAGTCGATATGGTCCCCCATTGGCTTTTAAAGCATTTTTCCAAACTATTCATGCACCATAATTGACCATAATATTGTTTGTTATAGTCAGACAAAAAAGTGCAATCAAAAATACCACTAATGTTGTAGTTACTTTGCCTAATGACTGCTGTTTTTTAATATATTTTTCATAAAAAATGAATGATTTCACTCAATTTTTATATTAATATTTTTACACTAAGTAGTGTAACAGGCAAAAGCATAAGTTACTTAATATGATGCAGTATGTAATCCCCACTTGTAGCGAATGCTGTAAAGATATATTGGTAATTTGAAAGTTATGTTATTATATGTTGTTATCCGATAATCATTGATTGAGCAGCAGTTACATCAACTTATGTGCTAAGACATATAAACTGCTATTATAGATTCCTTTTAGGTAATTTATGCTGTAGTATATAACGTTTATTTTGTTAGTGGTCTTAACTTTTAATTTCCCTGTAAAGTGTAATGTAGATTGTAAATCAAAATTCATTTCATTGGACATTACCACTGGAAATATGACTAAAAATTATATATATATATTAACACCATAAACAAAGCATTAAATATCTGACTGGAACAAGCTGTAATGCCTAATTGTGTCATATATTTTTCATTTACTAGATATATATATCCAATTCCCTAGCTATCAAATCTTGTTTGTTTTTCCATTAGTTACCTCTCCTTTTATTGGTTTAATGCAGGGGTTATGAATCTATGAAAGACAATAATATTTACTCTGGTATATAGCAATGCCATGTTCATTTGGACAAAAAAAAAGAGTAATCAACTTTAAGGAAAGCCCAAAATAATTCCACATCAGTTTCACCACAAGGGAAATGACTTATATTACTAAATCAACAGAAGTTAAATTTTGAATTGATATTAATGATTAAAAGAAATGGTAGGATTTTCTCATAATAAAGAAACATTATATTATTCAATCTTCTTAAAATGCTTTTTTGTAATATTTTGTGTACAGTTTTTAAATGATATATCTATATATCACCATTATATCACTCAAACATCACCATAAGCCTGAAAGATTGCTGAAATTGCTTTTTTGATGTGCTGTTATCACTATATCATTAGGCAGATTTTTATTTTCATGTTTTATCACAGATTTATCAAATATTTCACTATGAACCTAACTTCATGTTAAAGCTTATTCTGACAAAACTATAAGACAGCTTATTGAATTAAGAGGGATATTTGTTTTATTATATCATTTTCTTAGCGTAGCAATATTGCTTCAATGATCAATTTATCAATGCAATAAGTATGCAGTGAATTTGACACTAAATAAGTTTATTATCAGTGCACAAAATCTATCACTATAACATGACAAAACAAAAGGCATTAATCTTCAAGCTAGATTGTATATTGTTTCAGTGTATTTTAAAAAAAGATGCAATCATCTCTTGGTTGTGTGCCACTCTTCTCTCATCAAGGGTGCAATAATTGTATCGACAGTCTAGGACTGTTTTATTGTATAAAGTAGGCATTAGCTTTATTTCAAGGAGTGATGTGGATACTTGTGCAAATTAATATGAGGTGGGAGGTTTCTCCCTCTTGAACATGTTTATTAGAATAATCAGTGGTTTTAGGTAATTGAAAAGATTGTGGAATACTGTATTAGGGACTTATAGGGTAACTTAAGCAAGGAATGTTTTGACACCTACTTTATTGCAACAGGAACAAGCAGCAACATCAATGTAAAAAGGGGAGCCAAGTTCCCCAGTTTTTTTTTGTTTAACTTACATACTTTTGCATTACATATTTACAGGAATTGGCTCTTCTTTTTGATATCACGTCTTTTAATACACAGCTTTATTCTAACTTTACTTTTTTGTATGTATAAAATGTTTTGATGATCAGATATCATTCCTTTTTTTTTGTTTTGACAAGCAATATCACTTATTTCTGTTAATTTACAAGTGTTAGACTAATAGTTTTTATGAATCCTATAAAACAAATTGCAATGATTTATTTTTATGTTTAAAAATGCTAAATGTTTTTCATCCAAAATGGTCAGATATTTTGATAACATATCTTGCATGTTTGGTGAAACTATTCTCTAAAATAAATTAGCTTTATTTTTATCTGGGTTAGGCCAAGTAAAAAAATATATATGTTTAGTGTCCCCGCTCGCTTCCTGTTTTGCAGCCACCTCCCCCCCTTTTTTTTTGGCAATTTCTTTCCTTTTTTGAATTATCGTTTTTCGATCATACAAAAAAACAAAGAAGACTTCTAAATAAAACATGAAATGAACACTTTGATCCATATGGCTTTTTTTTTTCATAAATTCTATATAGTTTTGATAAAAAAATAAATGAAGAAAACTTCTCAGCCCTTGGAAAACAAAACAACAATCATGAAAAAAGGGGTGCAAACTTTCTTTAAAAGAGGTTGTTTGAATAAAAAGGACCTCCTCCCTTCTTTTTTTCAAAAACTCCATATGCTGAAATGTTTTTTATTTTACTTGGTCTTGAAACCTGCCTATTGATCTTGATCTATAACAGATATGAGATTCCACTGGAAGTGTAATTCTATTGACACAGATGCAGCATCTTAAACTACTATACCATTCCCTAATTTTTGGGTTTTCCACTTGCACTTAAACTCTTAAGTCATCAGTTTTAATCTGGTGCTGTGGAGAGCAGTTAACTATTAAAATTATCAAAAAATGTTCCTAAAAAATGTTAACGTGTGTTATCAACAATTTCTAGTTCAGATAGGTATCTACCAGTGGAATTTTGTTTCATGTTACTCCTTTATTTATTGTATGTTTAGCTTCTTCAGCAGAAAAACAACAACAATAATTTTACCATTTTTTTACCTGCTTATTTCTCTTTATCTAAATAAATATGTAGTTACTGTTTATAATGTGATGTGAGAATGTTTAGATCTGTTCAGAAACAAAAGAATAGTGGCATTCCAGCATTTGGAACAACTTTAAAAATACTACAAATTTAGCCAAAAGTTTTAATCTGTATATAGAATCATGGCAGTGTTGCTCCATTTTTCTGATTTGGCTGGATTCACTGCCATGCTTCGAAATAGACTGTAAAATAATCTCTGTAATGAGAGGTAAGTATTAATTTTCACTGTTTTTCTGTTAGGTTTATGTTTTGTTGTAAGCTATTTTTTCAATATTTTAATTTAGATATTAGCTAGAGGACTCATGACGTTAAGAACAAGTAAGTTTATAAAAGCAGTCTTAGAATTTTTATTTTAATCATAGTATCATTAATGAGTAAATTTCTGTATAAAAATGACTTTCATTCTCACTAATGTTTGCAAACTGTAACTTGAAATTCTAAGTCAGTTTAGTAAATTATTTGTAATTTGTTCTTGTCATTTACTTCCTTTTATCCATACTGTTTATGTTAGAGCTAACCACTATGTAGTGTTTGGTTCATTTCTTGATTTTCATTCAGTTGAGTCCAGATCAGCTTGTCTTTGTGCTTGAATTACTGCTGGATGAACACCAGATGGCACATCGAACTTTGACAGAACTGTGCAGGTTCTTTAAGCTTGGAGAGCAGAATGCAGATGTGAGTAAAACTTTATCTGCAGTAAAAATAATTTACTATAATTCTTAATCATTGGTGTGTAAATAAAGAAAATTTCTTAACATTGGCCACAAAAATATTAGAAGTGGTACTTAAACAATTTACAACACAAATTGTTTCGCAAACACTCTTTGCATCCATGTCCATGATCCTACTTTTTACACCAACAGCTAGATAGATGGGCATAGTTTTTAAGTCTCAGTTTAAAAGTTGCAGGGAAGATTATTGACACGAGAAATGAAGAATCCTTGTTTAGTGAATCTGGTAGAATAGTTACGTAAATCAGGTTTTTATAAGTACCACTGTAACATTAGAAGTCCATAGAGTAGAATGCTAATATTAACATTTATGTATTGAATTTTGCTAAAAGCAGTAAAGCCATTTCACTCCATGTAGTTGAATGTCAAATCTTTTTTTTTGTTTAGTTTCTTTTATAAACTTAATATTTTTTTTTATAAGTTTGAATCTTTTTTTTTTCCAAGTCATGAAGAACATACTGCTAAATGATATCATTATTCTCACAACAGTATAAGTCACTTACATTGTTATTTATTTTAGAATATGTGTTCATTTTAACTTCATATTCATCTAAACAACCAAGTATATGCTGTTGCTGTTAACCATAGTGTTTAAAAAAAACTGTTCATTTTAAAATTTATTGTCCAAAAGATAGTGGAAGAAGAACAACAAGTAACTTTTGTAGATTTTGATGAATTGTATCTGTACTAACAACTTTACTTTATACAAGAAAGTAGCACCATATGCTGTTAAACGTGTTATCATGTCTAACTGTTTACAGTAATAGAAAATAAGGTTATAATAGCACCACCACATAATTTGTTTTTCTCTGCTGTCTTGACGGTTTAATAATTTGTTGTTGATATCACAGGTTCGACACAGATGGTGTGAACTCATTGTGCAACACCAGTACAGACCAGGTTACACTGCCATTAGTACTTTTCTTATAGAAGAGCAGGTATGTTTTTAGTAGGATACTTACTCAACTTATTACAGTAAATAATTGACAAGTTATATACACATTATGCTATTTTAAATACACAAACACACACATAATGGCTTAAGAAAGATATATTCTGATTGAATTGTACACTTATTATTCAAGAGAAGTAATGAGATTAAAATCATAAGTAATATTCAACGTTAAACTGGTACACACTTAAAAACATTTTATTTAGGCCTATCTATGGCCTTCAAAAACTTTTTGAAGGCCATAGATAGGCCTAAATAAAATGTTTTTAAG